ACTGTGATGCCGGCTCCCTGGGGGCCATGATGGTGCCTTGCTTCTCTTTATAGGCACCCCACCCATTAGAGTGCTCAGTGGGTGCCCAAAATTTTTAAAAATTGAACTACATAAAATGTTTAGCTCTGGAAATGGGAAGTGAGTGAAAATGAGTTCCTAGTAAATATTAATGCACCACCAACTCAGTTTACAAATAACATAAGCTTAGCTTCTATCGATCTAGGTGCTCAAAAACGAAACTAAAGCGGTGAGAGAGTGAGACAGTGGCATGTGTCTTTTTACCTTCTGTCTCCCTCCAGAAGCTACGGCTTGGGGGCAGATCAAATTGTCCTCTTGCTAACCTATGTTGCATCTGAGACAAGAACAGCCGTGCTAGGTCACTGAGTAAGTGCTCCCTGTCGACCATCGAATGCTAGCTGAATTTGTCTGAGTAACAGTAGCTAGAGCTGTACACAAAGGCCAGGATTCAAGGGACAATCATCCATGTGCCAGACATGGGAAGTCTTTGGTTCAAATAACACAAACATGTTCTCAGCCTGAGAGAAGATATATGCTACTGACAGCTGAGTAATCATCTCATGGTTTTGAAGAAAACTGTAGTGTATATGGAAATCAAACAAAAAATTATTTTTGAATCATCTATTATTTGGGATTATTGATAACATGAGATAATTAAGATTTGACTTCATTTATCATATAATACATATTACATACATGTTTATATTGTGTAATTTATACAAGTTTATGTATCTATACCAATAGGTAGCTAGTATCTACCTACCTACCTACCCACCTATCTACATTAGACCTCCTATTTTTTCAGGTGGTAACATCAAAGGTCATGTAATTCATCTTCCCAATGATAAAGTGACAGTACTCAAAACAGAAGCTAAGAGATCCGGTCCCCCATCATCTTCTCAGAAACTCAGCCACACAGAACCTCAGCTCACTTTGATTTATACAAATGTACTAACACCCAAGACTCTGATGTGGTTGAGGCCAAACAGTGTTTTGAGGGAGAAGAGGTAAACCGACAAGGTGAATCTAAGATGCTCTGCCAAGACTTCTTACCATAATTTACCAACTAATTATACAACCTACAAGCATACTGAGAGGACACAAATGGTTATACAGAATGGGAGAATGGGGAGAACGACAATAAACTACAGAATATTTGTATAACTATGATACTAAAGCATTTGACTTGCATATATTCTCTTGGGTACCGTAAGGTTAACATGAAATATCAATTCAACTAAACCTCTATAAACATGTTGGTTTTCCACAACCAGAGCCACTATTCCCACTTCAGTGGGCAGCAGTATTCAGAGAAAAGCCAGATTTAGCTCCTGTGTAATAAACACCAGAAACCAAAAGATGTTAGGAAAGCTGTTTATGCCCATGTCTACCAGGAAGCTTTCTCTGTCATAGTATCACTATACTGAATGAACTGGTAAGATTAGAAGTCTCTTCAACAAAGCTTCAAGGCCCAGTAAATACAGTCTTTAAACTAGCCACTACCTTCCACTTCCTTTAGTTTTTCAATTAAAAGTGTTTTTGGCAAGACAGGCTAATGAAAAACAGATTTTTTTTTTTTAAATACAGGGTCAGTATATTTACAAGTGGAAAGTAACTGTACTTTTCGTAGAATTTAGCTACTGTATGTACTATTTGGGGTAGACGAGAATAAAAATCATCTGTAAGTGTTTTTATGTACTTTTTATAAACAATATTTCATTTAAATTCTCACGACAATTCTACCTGTTACCTGTTGCCACTGAGTTGATTCTGACCCATAACGACCCTATGGGACAGAGCAGAACTGCCCCATACGGTTTCTAAGGAGCGGCTGGTGGATCTGAACTGCCGACCTTTTGGTTAGCAGCCGTAGCTCTTAACCACTGTGCCACCAGGGCTTCATGACAATTCTCGGAGGTAAGAATTATCACCCCGTTTTACAGGCACAGAGATTACAGGATTGAGAAGTTGAATAACCTACGTCAGGTCCCACAGCAGGTAAGTTGCAGAGGAGGCACAGGTAAGAACCATCACTTCACTCACAGGCACATCAACAGCCAAGGATGTCCAAACAAAATTCTCATACAAAGAAATACTATTATAGAGAAAATAATTTCCCAGTCCTTGTCAGGATTTGACCTAAACTTCCCAATGAGCAGCTCAAAGCAGAACCCCTCCCAAAAAAAAAAACCCTGTTGCCGTTGAGTCGATTCCAACTCATAGTGACCCTATAGGACAGAGTAGAACCGCCCCATAGGGTTTCCAAGGCTGTAATCTTTGTGGGAAGCAGGCTGCCGCATCTTTCTCCAATGGAGCAGCTAGTGGATTGGAACTGCCGACCTCTTCAGTTAGCAGCTGAGCGCTTAACCACTACACCACCAGGGCTCCTTCAAAGCAGACCACACAGTTAAAAGAGATCATCAGTACTATAGTTACGGGTAAGGCCAAGAATAGAACACAGGTCTGCTCACCCTCACTCCGATGCCCAATCAGGCGTGTTGTTTTGGATGTGAACACCCTTCTGATGTTTCAAGTCACTTGGGAACAGCAAAGAAATCAGTTAATAATTCTGGTAGATAGAATAAAAGAGGTATTTGCTCTAAAAAGGGCATGATCATAAAAAGATTTTACCAAGGAAGCTTTAAACCAAGAACACTGGTACCTGAAAATTTTCTTACCTTCTGCAGCAAAAATGAGAAATAACCTTTGTCCTCCCCTCCCCATAGACTGTGAATGATTAGCATGGCTATGCTGAGAATTTAAGAAAATGTAAAATAAGTGGATCTTCCAGGTGATTAACACACTTATAGATTTACCCTACTACCCACCAAATTCCTCCAATTCAATACAAAAGACAGCAGGACACTAGGAATGTCTAGCAAATGTCAAGCCATGATAACCGCTGCCCCCGCCCCCAACCCCACCCTACTCTGTTGCTAGAAACAACTCTCTCAACAGTTCCAATGGCCACGCCCTGATGAAGATGCTGGGAACACAGGAAGACTGCTGGGTGCCAGAGGAGAAGTGAGGAAAGGGGCCACATGGCTGGGGAAAAGGGACAGCAGAGGAGTGATCAGGAAATGTCTCAAAGTCTCAAGAAAGAGGTGCCTGGGAAAGAAGACCAGAGAACCAGTTCAACAGGAAAAGGCTATTTACTGAGTCAGACATCATCAATAACAAGGGACAGCTGAGAAAGAAGAAAACCAGATTAGAAGAGCCTTACCTAGGCTAAAGATTATTCAGATCCATTTCTACTAAACAGATAAAAACGCTAGATAAAATTACCTAGTGTTTCCAAATGCTAGATAGTAAGTTTTTAAATTTAATGCTTAATCTTATTATAAGTTTATTTTTTTAAACAAAAAGAAAAAAAAACTGTTGAGAGATTTCTTATATCAAATTCTTCATGATCTGCCATTTTTAAGCAGAGCACAAGGATAAATAGTATGTATTGAGAGGTTACTATCTAGCCCATCACATCTTTAGGACATATCTACTGATGCATCTCTCTCATTTTCACTCAGCCAAACCAAAATTCCTACATTTAGGGTAAAGGCACTTTACGTTTTACAAGTACATCTTAAATTTCAAATAAGTAAAACACCTAGAAAAGTTAAAAGTATTCCTTTCACTGTTCCACATTAAATACCTCTTTCCAATCTGTTCTGTAAAAAGCAAGAAATAAGTTGCTTACCTATAATTACATAGCATGTACTTTAGTTAATGTTTATAAACCGTTCTCCCTTTCTTTAACCATTCTCAAGATAAACCATCTCAACATATTTAGATGTATAATAAACATTAAAGATTTAATCTAATTAGCATCGGTTGACGCAAACCATCAATTTTATAAAGGTCTACACTTGAAATCTCAGAACTCTTCTTCCCCCTGCTATAAGCTATCACTGTTCTTTATTATATAGAAAAAGTGTCCAGAAACAGTTCATTTTTAAAAACAGGATCAAAATTAAATAAGAGAAAATACATAAACACCACTCAATTAGAAAACCAAAACCACACACACACACAAAAAAAAAACCCATCCACTTTTACAATGGATTTCTTCTTCCATATCCTCCCTCTACTCCTTAAAAAAAGCAGCTTGATGTTTAAGCAGATTAAATACCCGCCCCCAGCCCCCAAGCGCTGAAGAGCGCTCTTCCCATTACTGGGCCCCATTAAAGACTGGGAAGTGGCTGGTCCTACTCCACCTAGAAGGAACACTCTCCCCCATCTTCCTCCATTGCCACCTGTAAGATCTGGAGGGCAGGCAATCATATAGGTCAACAAAGACTGAATCCCTTCCCCAGCATCCTCTTCATTTAACTTCACCCTGAAGTTTCCTCAGTAAACTCTCTTACCCCAAGTTTGTCAGGAATATTACTCAGATCAGACTCACAGTTTTGTGGAATATCAAAGGAATTTTTAAAAGCCCCATTTAAGCAACTTATAAGAAGCCTTGTGTATCTAATGAAAAGTGCCAACGTTTAGGGCCAGAATATTAAAAGTACTCTTCAAAACACAGCAACACTAAATACAGAAAAATTCCCAGTAGAACTCATAGTATATTTGGCTACAAACGTTTTAATTCTACTGTGGGTTTGGTTGATGGCTTTTGCCAATTACCAAAAACAAACTAGTGATAAATGACATTTCCTATTTCAGGTACTGTATTTAAAATTAAATGTTAATTCCCGACGCCCACCACCAACTAACCCTCTGTTCCCAAAGACTTTTCTGTTCTTATAGTTGTAAGAAAAGTCTGCTTTCTCCAGAGAAATAAGCATAATCCGTCTATTAATTGTCTAAAATCATGAGCTAAAACTGAAAGTGAAGGAAGTAAAATAAACAGAGTCCTAGAGGCCAGCCTGAGTCTGAGCACTGAACAGGGTTAAAGGAGACCATTTCATAAGATCAAAAGCTGAGAAGCAGCAGGAGCAAAGAGGGAAAAATCAAGTTACACAAAGTCCAATTGTACTCACTGTTTCCTTATTGGGAAGCAGCTCCTTTCTAATTCTGAAGAAGTTCTTGCCGTACTGCCTGAGCCCCTTAACGAAGCGTTTCTGTGATAAAAGAAACAACAAATGGAATGTAAAAACCAAAAACAAAACAGGATGTCAGCAAACCAAAGATGTCTGCAATCAGCAGAATAACAACCACAAAAAAGTCTTAGCTAGGGAATACTGAGTACACTGGGTGGGAGAAATATTTCGGCAGCACTGCTGGGACCCACTGGCCAGGGCAGGCCCCGGCCGTTCATCAGACCCCCAATCCCACGCACACCGGACAGAGCACAGCGCTGAAGAGAAGGGCATCCTGTGTCGGAAGCTAAGCAGCAATCTGTCCCTTCTGTGCCACCAGGCACAGTCTATGCATTGGTCCACGAAGGTATAAACAGCAAATAGGCTCCGTGTTTCAATAAAACAGCATAACTGCTTTCCACCTGAGAATGAAGCTTCCCAGAAATGTCGAGAAGGAGAGAAAGGGAAACTGCACCAAACCTGGTGACTCTTCTCCAGAAAGGCATCCAAGAGGATTAAAAAGCCTCCTTCGTTAATCCAAAGAATACACCAGAAAGCACCGATATCGCGGAAGCCCAATGGAAGCCCAAATCCCTGCTGGCCTGCTCTGCCATCTCCGTCATTAAAAGCCACTCCGAGCCACCGAATAAAGAATGCTCGGCACCCTTCCTTCCTCCTGACGCTCCCCCCCACCCCCCACCGCATTTCCTTAGCAGTCTCAGACTCGTCCCCAAGCCCCGCCGGGAGACTTTCACTTTGTCCCATTCCTCCCAGGCAACTCCCTCCCTGCCCCGGTGGAGGCAGCTCCCGTTGCCCCGGCCCCCACCTCGGGGTGGAAGCCCGGTCCCTCCACGCGCGCGTGCGGCCGACCCCCGCACACTTCCCCGAACCCCCCGGCAGCCACAGGTACGCGGGGCCGGGCCGGCAGCACAGTCCAGGCAGCAAGAGGCCGCCGCCGAGGCCGCCGCCTGTCACTTGGCTCCGGATCCACAAAGCGTAGGGAGGCGGCGGCCGAGGAGGCGGATCGCGTGTGACCGCGG